GTCCGCTGGATTTGGCCGAACCGGCGTTCACGGTGTTTTTACAATTGGATTGTTTTCGGTTGTTCAAAGGAAAATGTTTTTGCTGCAGGTTGGGCCTCACTTTCGGACAGGAGCTATGCTCCTGTCTTGCAGAATGTCGCTCTCGACCCAGCGCAGCCCACTTTTCTGGATCCCACAGGTCTCGCACGTCCCACAGGTTTCGCAGGTCTCGCAAGCCCCACATGCCCCACAGTACACACAGAACCCACGGGTCTGTCAGGTCGTCCCACGGGTCCCACAAGTTGGACAGGTCCCGCAGGTCCAACGGGTCCTCCGAGGTCCCACAGGTCGCACATGTCCCACAGAAGTCCCACAAAAGTCCCACAGGTCTCGCAGGACTCACATGTCCCACAATTTTTCACATGTACCACAGGTGTCGCAGGTTCTTAGGGTTCATCGCTTGGGTAATGGAATTCTAGTTCGGCTATGACACGCGTCCGCGGATAGAGACAACATCAGCGCAATGAGAGGGTATTGGAGGGAGGGGTCTGATGTAGGTAATTTATAATCCGACTGATTTCAGTGGTTCAATGGTGCTCTCGCTGCTGCGCGGGCCTCATTTTCGGATCGGCGTTGTGCCCCCGTCGTTCAGAATGGCGCTCTCGCCCCAGCATGTAGGTCCCTTCCCTGGATCCCATAGGTCTCGCAGGTCAAACAAGTCTCGCATGTCTCGCAGGCCCAACACGTCCCACTTGACGCACATGTGTCGCAGGTCGTCCCACACGCCTGACCTGTTCCACAGGTCCCACAGTTTCCACAGGTGTCGCAGGTCCCGCAGGCCTCGCAGGTCCAACATGCCTCGCAGGTCCGACAGGTCCCACAGGCGTCGCATGTCTCACGAGCTCCGCAGAGACCCCCCAGGTCCCACAGGTTCCTCGGGTGCCACGGGTCCCATAGGTCTCGCAGGTATTGTAATTTCCAACCCACAGGTGTCGCAGGTCTCACATGCCCCACAGGCCACAGAGGCCCCCCAGGTCGCACATGTCCCACCAGTCCCAGAGGCCCCACATATCCACAGTTCCCACTGGCCCCAAGTCCCATAGAAGTCCCACAGAATTCCCACAGGTTCCACAGATCGCATAAACCCCACAGCTCCCACCTGCCCCACAGGTCCAACATGTCACCTTTGCTGCTAGTAGGGCACTTTGCCGGGGCAGCAGAGTTTCAGATCGGCTATGACACACGTCCGCGGATAACGCAAACATCAGTGTAATGAGAGGGGATGGGACGGAGGGATAGGATGTCAGATGTGGCGCGAGCGCACCTGGCCTGCGTCTCGCCCCTGTCCTCTCTCCTCCTCTCTCCTTTTTCATTTCCTTATCCTTATAGATAACTTTCCCCTGTCGCACCCCGAGTCCAGTTATTAGGACTGGCCGGGCGTTTCGCCTAAGATTTTCTCACCGTGTATGGTTTTGAATATTAGATTCGCAACAGTTTTACAGATGGGGGGCGGGCCGTTTTCAAAATGTGACTCTCGCCCTGGCGCGGCGCAGATGTGTTTAAAAATTTGCAAGGTGTTCACGGAATGAGGGCGGGTGGTTTTCAAAATGTGATTCTCGCCCTAGCGCCGCGCACATTCGTTTTCAGAATTTGCAAGAGTTTCACGGAATGTGGGCGGGTGTTTTTCAAAATGTGGTTCTCGCCTTAGCGCCGCGCACATTCGTTTTGTATATTTGCAATAGTTTCACGAATTGAGGGCGGGTCGTTTTCAAAATGTGGTTCTCGCTCTAGCGCGGCGCACATTCGTTTTAACGATTTGCAGGGGTTCACGGATTGAGAGCGGTTCCTTTTGATCAAAATGTGGTTCTCGCCTTAGCGCTGCACGCATTCGCTTTAAACATTTGCAAGGGTTTCACGAATTGAGGGCGAGAGGTTTTCAAAATGTGGCTCTCGCTTCAGCGCCGCGCACATTCGTTTTGAAAATTCGCAAGAGTTGCACGGATTGAGGGCGGTTCCTTTTCAACATGTGGTTCTCGCTTTAGCGCCGCACACATTCGTTTTGGAAATTTGTAAGAATTTCGCGGATTTCCATCATCAGCGCACCAGAAAAGAGGGTTTGGGAAGGATTTTGGATTATGCGGGTTCAACAGTTACGTTGATTATCTGTGTTGGAGTCCTGGAATGGCGCTCTGGCACGATTCAGGATCGTCAAGACGCAACAGTCAGGTTGATCTGTGGCGTTGGAATCCCGAGAACAATTTTTTGACATGCTTCAGGGTCTTCAAACTTGTGTCTTCTAACGAGGCAGCTCCATCAATGGAAATGAACTGTTGTAGGGGCCTCTGAAGAGGGAGCCTGGAGGGAGGTTTTACCCCAACATCGTTGATGACTCCTGGCTTTACACTGGTCCTCCGCCTCCTCGTCCTCCCTCCTCCTCCTCCTCCTACCTCCTCCTCCTCCTCCTCCTCCTCCTCCTCCTCCTCCTCCTCCTCCTCCTACCCCCTCCTACCCCCTCCTGTCCTGCTGCTGCTCCTCCCTCCTGCTCCTCTCCGCTGCCGCCGCCGCCGCCCGCCGCCTCGCAGGGACGACCCCGCCCCTCCAGGGCGAGGTACGGCTCCGACCGGTGGCCCCCAAGTCTTTGTGGCTGTCGGCCCCCAGGGGAGGCCGCTCCTCGGCCCCAAGGACCGCCAGGGCAGGACCCAGGAGGAGGAGGAGGAGGAGGAGGAGGAAGAAGAAGGAGGAGAAGAATAATAAGAAGACGAGGAGGAGGAGGAGGAGGAGGAGGAGGACGTGGACGAGGACGAAGTCGAGGAGAAAGAGGAGGAGGAGGACGAGGACGAGGACGAGGACGAGGACGAGGACGAGGACGAAGCGGAGGAGGAGGACGAGGAGGAGGAGGAGGAGGAGGGGGGAGGAGTAGGAGGAGGAGGAGGAGGAGGAGGAGGAGGAGGAGGAGGAGGAGGAGGAGGAGGAGGAGGAGGAAGGGAGGAGGACCAGGGCCTCCCCCCAAGGACTGCTGGGAAGGGGTCGAGATCGCCGCTGGCCCATGCCATGGAAAAAGGCACCTGCTCATCCCGCCTACTTCGCCCCCCCCTCCTTCTGGGAAGCATTCGCCACGCAGGGAGCGGGGTCCTGACGTGAGAGGGCTGCGCTTCTCAGGAGCAGGCTCAGGGGGCCGTCAGAAAGCGACTATGGGCGATAAATTTGCCCCATGGGGGAAGCCCGCGGGGTCCAGGACTTGTATCCCTCTCTTTTGTCCTCTTTCCCTCCTCCTCCGCTTGATCGTCCCTCCTCCTCCCTTCTCATTTCCCTCCTCCTCCTCTTCCCTCCCCCCTCCTCCCCCATCCCCCACTCCGCCCGCGCGCGGAGAGGGGGGGGGGGGATGGAGGAGGGGGCAGGGAAGGATGGTGAGGGTGGAAGGCGCCGCCATCCCGAAGCAGGACGCGGGAGTGTGGGGGGCGCACGAGGGACGGCCTCGGAGGATGTCCGGCCCCAACGTGCCGCTCATGGCCGCCCCCTGACAGCTCGTGGTGGCGCGGCGAGGAGGGGAAGCTGAGAGGAGGGAGGGAAGACGGAGGATGGTCAGGAGAGGAGGGAGAGAAACAAGGGCACCCTCGAGGGCGCGAAGTGATTCGCGCCTCGCGGTTCGGCTCCGACTCGTCCTCATCCTTCTCTTCTCGCCTGCGGGGGCAGCGGCAGCGCGAGAGCGCGAAGTTCGTCGCGCTTCGCGCAGCGCGAAGCGCGAAGTTAGGCGCCCTTGGAGAGACGAGGAGGGCAAGCTACGTAAGTGCACTGGCATTGCGTCTGATATCCTCCCACCCCTTCCCAATGCGGTGAATCCTCTTGTTTCGCCGAGTCGGGTGCCCGATCGGACCTTACTGAATCAAAGACTTGAACTGCAATGCGCAATGGGGGACTGGGCAAGATGGGGCCAGCCAACGCGCAAAGATGTCGGACGACTCCCAGAACGGAGAAACGACGTACGCAGCTGAAAAGCGCCCTGCAGGACTCAGGTAATTATGAGGAAGGTGGAAGAATTGGAGGGGAAGGAGGGAGGCGAGACGGAGCAGGGTCACGACCAGGAGGAGGAGAAGGAGGAGGAGGAGGAGGCGAGGCAAAGGGAGGACGAGTACGAGGACGAGGATGGCGCGGTCGCCCAGACGAGGAAGAAGATGAGGCGAGTAACAAAAACGAAAAGGAGGGTGACCAGACGGAGGGAGCATCAGGGGACAGAGGAGAATCGTATATACACTCGTGTAGGGCAGCTGCACCAGCGAGGGAGGGAGGGATCACCTCACTGAGGCGCACGACTTGCATCAGAGATCGGAAAATACCTTTTCCATTGACGATGCCCATCCTATCCTTTACTCCAGATCCCATGCTTCGTCTTGCACTCTTGCTCATGCGATATGAGCCAAAGCCTGGGATATGGCAACGCTTAAAGCGTAACACATACCTAAGCTTACCAGCTTGTTTTCGACTCATGGAGCCATCCTGGGCCATCTTGGACACTCTGACCGCTCGCGACCGGGCCCGTCCAGGTCCAGGGGAGGGGGTTAGGGGGAGGTGTAAACCCCTCCCCGAAGGGGAAGAAGGGAAGATGGAAGAGGAAACTCCCTAAACCACCTACGCCCAGAGGGCTGGTGGGATTCGAGCAGCTATTCCTGACGGATAGGCACCCTATCCCGAGGTACGGCCGAAAGCTATAAGTGGGGTTTGGCCCCCTTGGTATCAGCAGGTGGCCGATAGCTTTCGGCAGTACCTCCAACTTTGAGGATGTGGCCGCCTCATCCTTTTAGGTACCCTTTATGCCTATAACCCGCTTGGTAATCCTCCTCTCCCTCCTCCGCTTCTTCTTAATGGTCATTCTTGGTTTTTCTCCTGCTCCTGAGTTTTGGGAAGGATCGCTTGAGGAAGGCGAGGGTTTCCCCCCCTCCTCCTCCTCCGTAGCCATACTGGCTCAAGACGAGGGCCTCCCCCGCGCTCGCGCCGCCGCCGCGGCCCGCACGTCCAGCCGGGCGATGGCCCGCGACGGCGGGCTGCTGGATATCCCAGAGGAAGGCATCTGCCCCATCTCGCAGATGCTGATGCAGGACCCCGTCATGTGCGCCGACGGCCACTCCTACGAGAGAGCGTGCATCGAGCGCTGGCTGTCGGAGGGCCACCGCACCAGCCCGAAGACGAATGCGTTGCTGCGGCACACCACGCTCACCCCGAACCACAATCTCCGCAACATGATCGAGTCGCTGACGCAGCGGATGCCCGCCCTGCAGCGCCAGCAGCTCGAGCAGCTGCGCGAGAGGCAGAACCTGGAGGCCATCCTGGCGGCGCTGGCCGAAGATCAGGAGAAGGAGCTGCCCGGCGCGCCGCCGCCCGGCGCCTGGCCGAAGGAGGACCTGGAGCGCCTGTCCGTGAAGGCCCTCCAGCAGAGGCTCCGCGCCTTCGGCCTGCCGGTCTCGGGCCGCAAGGCTCTAGGCATCCTAGATGGGGTCGGAGTAGATGGGGTCGGATGATCGCGCCGCATCGCCGATGCATCACCGATGCAGCTCGATGTGGAGCCCGATTTCCGTCCCGTCGACGTCGCCGAGGCATCGCCCACGTCGACGCCTCATCGCCGCTGCATCGCCGATGCATCGCTGATGCATCGCCGATGTATCGCCGATGTATCGGCGATGCGGCTCGGTCCATCGACCCCACCTACTCCGACCCCATCTAGGAGCCCTCTAAAGGCCGAGCTCGTCGCGCGGCTGCAGGCGCTGCAGATCGACCCCGAGGACGCGGACGCCTGGCGCAACCTGGGCATCGCCGGCGGCGGGACGGTCTCGGGCCGCGCCCACAGCGAGAAGGAGTGCTACGAGAAGGCGCTGCAGATCAACCCCGAGCACGCGGTCGCCTGGTGCAACCTGGGCTTCGCCGGCGGCGGGACGGTCTCGGGCCGCGCCCACAGCAAGAAGGAGTGCTACGAGAAGGCGCTGCAGATCAACCCCGAGCACGCGGTCCCCTGGTGCAACCTGGGCTTCGCCGGCGGCGGGACGGTCTCGGGCCGCGCCCACAGCGAGAAGGAGTGCTACGAGAAGGCGCTGCAGATCAACCCCGAGGACGCGGTCGCCTGGTACAACCTGGGCGTCGCCGGCGGCGGGACGGTCTCGGGCCGCGCCCACAGCAAGAAGGAGTGCTACGAGAAGGCGCTGCAGATCAACCCCGAGCACGCGGTCCCCTGGTGCAACCTGGGCTTCGCCGGCGGCGGGACGGTCTCGGGCCGCGCCCACAGCGAGAAGGAGTGCTACGAGAAGGCGCTGCAGATCAACCCCGAGGACGCGGACGCCTGGAACAACCTGGGCGTCGCCGGCGGCGGGACGGTCTCGGGCCGCGCCCACAGCGAGAAGGAGTGCTACGAGAAGGCGCTGCAGATCGACCCCACGTACGCCCACGCCTGCCTGCTGATGTAGCTCTCTTCGAAGGCCCGGCACTCGCAGGCCGCGCGCCGCGAGCGGGCCGGCCGCCCGCGGAGACCGCGCACCCGGGGCGTTCCGCGGTGTGCTCCTCCTCCTCCTCCTTCTCCTCCTCCTCCTCCTCCTCCTCCTCTATAACCCCTATAACCCCTATAACCCCTATAACCCCTATAACCCCTATAACCCCTATAACCCCATATAACCCCTATAACCCCTAACCCCTATAACCCCTATAACCCCTATAACCCCTATAACCCCTATAACCCCTATAACCCCTATAACCCCTATAACCCCCCTATAACCCCTATAACCCCTATAACCCCTATAACCCCTATAACCCCTATAACCCCTATAACCCCTATAACCCCTATAACCCCATATAACCCCTATAACCCCTTATAACCCCTTACAGGGAGGGTCATGAGGAGAAGAAGAGGCCGAACACATTGTTTTGTCTTCTATACCTGTTCGTGTGCTGCTGTCGTCCTGGGACCTTCTGGGAGGCTCCCGCCGCCGCGGAGGACGCCCGCCCAGCGGCCGACTACGTCGCAGCCGAACCGTTCGGCTGCGTCGCAGTCGGTTGCGTTCTGTTGGTTCGATGCGGTCGGTTGCTGTGCTCGTTGCTGCGTCGCTGCGCCCTTCTGGGCTGCCAGCGGCCTGCCAGTTTCGCTGGGTCTCGGTTTTGCTGTCGGTCCGCTCTTGTTCGGTTGTGGTGTCGACGTGGACGGCTTTGAAGAGGGAGGGGGGCATGAGGAACAGGGGAGCAGGCGGGTGAAGAGCACGAGGACCAGTCGGAGCGCGCTCCGGGCCACGTGAGGGATGACGTTTCGGGAGGGGCGAGCGAGGATGTGCGGGAGGACGAGGGAGGAGGGAGAGGGAAGGAGGGAGGGATGGGGATTGGGAATGAGGAAGAGGGGATGAGCAGAGAGAAAAGGAAGGGGAGCGGGGAGGATGGGGGAGATGAGAGAGAGAGGAGAGGGAGGGGGAGTGAGCACAGAGCGAGAGAACGAGGGTCAAGGAAATGCAAGCATGGATCAAGGCGCGTGGATTAGCCACAGGCTTGGCTTCCGTGCAGAACTGGAGCGCTCTGTCACCAAATCAGGCGGCACTGGCGCCATGTTTCGCGCCAGCTCCACGGATTCCTTGTACATGTTAGCGTTTGCCCGATAGGCAGGAGAGAGAGGACGCAAAGGAATGGGATGAGGAATGGGACTGCCTCCCCCTCTCCAGGGGGTAGCGGTGATCCATTTTCCTTGCTCCAGCCCCAGACCTCCGACGTCGTCTTTTTTCGCATCGTGAACCCGCAGAAGTCTGGACCGTTTTCTGGGACCATCGTGCCATGCCGAGCCGGTGTTTGATTGTTCTCGGACTCGGGATATTTTGAGACTGACAATTTGCACAAATAATCCCGTTTTATTTGTTCTCGACGAGAGGAGGTCTCCGACCCCTTCCTCTGCCGCTGGCGTTTACATGGGGGGCTGCCTCCCTGAGATCCGACGTGACGGACATGTTACAACATCGTGCAACACATCAAGCGGAGCCCCACCTCCTTGCGACATTTTTCGATCCGCATCGATCCGTGATGATTTGTGAGGGGCCTGGGGGCCGAACCAACGGAAATCAAGGCAACGTCGCCCGCTGTGAAGCAAATTCGACGACTGGATCGCAAGGCCAGATGTCCTCCATCGTGTTTTTGTTCGCAACGTGAGCCCCTACAGGTCTGAACCGCCTCCTGGAGACCGGCTTCTCGTCCTGGGTAGTTTTTTGCCGGTCTTGGGGCCAAGCGAGGGCCACTAGGGGCACGCGTCCACGGGAGGCCCTGAACTGGCTCACGCAGAGCTACCCCGCGACGGTCGACGAGATCGCGCGGCTCGGGGGCAGGGAGCTGATCAGCGACGCCGGCGCCTTGGCCTGCGCCGGGCTTCAGAGGGGACGAAGTTTGAAGGTGCGAGGTCTGATTTTTTTGGACGTTTTTGTCGGATCTCGGTGGCTTTCCAGCCTCGGGATGCCTCCCAGCAGCTGCGCCTCGTCGAGGGCGTCCCGGCGGTGCCCCGATGGTCCCCACTGGCCGCCGGGGGGCCGAGTCATTGCCCGAAATCCACCAGGTGTGGCACCGTCATGGGGGGAATAGGCTCAGGGGGGTACGCATCGACCCCCAATTGCCTACTGCTCGCCAGTAGGGACCCAATAGTCCACCCCGCCGAGGGCCGTGCGGATTCCCTAACAGGGGCCCGTCGCCGATCTGTCGGCGATGTGTCGCCGATTCAAGCTCGGTGTTCCCCTCCCTTCCCTGCTCGTTGCCCGTCAGGAGGGGGGGAGACGGGAAGGGAGAGGGATGAGGGATGCGAGGGAGATGGCGGTGAGGGCAGGGAGCGGGAGGGGGGATGGGAGGAAAGAGGGAAGGAGCGGAGGGAGGAGGCAGGAAGGAGAGAGGGAGGGAGGGAGGGAGGAGGACGAGGACGAGGAGGAGGAGGAGGAGGAGGAGGAGCCAAACATTTTGTTTTCATGCCCGATCAGCTCGATAAAAAGCAGCAGGAGGAGCAGGAGGAGAGTGGAGGGGGGGGAGCAGGAGGAGAGTGGAGGAGGAGGAGGAGGAGGAGGAGGAGGAGGAGGAGGAGGAGAAGAGTGGAGGTGGGGGCCTCCGGGGAGAGAGGTCAGGTGGGCAGCCGGCGTGGTGCGCAGGGCGGGCGGGTCGGCCACGCGCAGAGGGGGGTGGGGGGATGGAGGAAGGCAACTTATCGGGCCGGGCGAAAGGGGGGATTGGGAAAGGGGGGGTTAGGAAATTTGCTGCATGCAGCTGGTTTCGGCCTCACCGAGGGGCCCATTCCTCGGTACATAGCCGCCTCCGGCGCCGGGAGGCGCCGGGAAAATCAGCTGCGTGAGCTGATTCTCAAACCCCCCCTTTGCTATCCCCCCCTTTCGCCCGACCCGAACTTAGCAGCACCCCTGCTTCTCAAAAGGCGCGGGCCTTGTCTGTAGGCGTAGTGCCTGCGCCTTCCAAGGAGGCCCTCCCCCTGCCCCCTCTGCGCATGGCCTCTGGCAGCCGGCGTTGGGCGCAGGTTGGGGCGGGGCGGGGGGGTGCGGCTGCCTGAGGAGGCGGGGGGGATTCCTGGAGGTCCTCTGTCGTCGCAGTTTTTTGTTGCAACGCGCGATGCTTTGCACACTGCTTCGGTCGGGCTTAGCCAAGACCCCGGTTAAGGGGAGCCGGTTAGTGATTGGGCCCCGATGCCCAAAATTTGGGCTGTAATCACTAAACCAGGTCTGCCGTAGCTGGTGTTTTTAGGGTGACGGCAATTCCGATTAGTGGAAAGGGACGGGGTGGGGGGCGTCCCCGGTACAGATCACTAAACCAGTTCCCACTAAAGCCAGTCTTGGTGTCCGATTCGGGTCCCAGGAACCTCACAGATTGATCCTGCTCGAAAAATGCAGCAGAAGGGTGGGGTTCAGGCTTTGGGTCGAGGTGTTTTAGATGATGTTGTGTTTCGTAACGTCAGAATTCAGGTTTGGGTTTTCGGAAAGGCCCAGCGTGGGTTTAATTAGGTACAGTATCCCATTGTTGAGATTCCCCTCTTCTTCCTGCTCTCCTCTGTTCTGCCCCCATTGGGCCATACTTCCCGCCAAGCTGGCAGGACCCGGATCTGCGCTTTTTGCGTTTCAGCTCTCGGTGATCGCACGGTGGTTGCATGCCGGCCTTACTTCGATTGTTGTTTGGAGGCGCCCGCTCTTTTCCACCAAAAGTGCGGTGGAACAAGGTAATTATGTTTCTCTATGAAGGGCCCGGAGGCTTCTTCGACAGGCGTCTTAGAAGGCACTCACATCCACTCGTTGCGAAGAAATCGCGACGGAATTCTTCTGCCCATTTTCGGCCGCTGGGGGCCCTCACCGGTTGAACAAAAACGACTCCATAATGAAAAATCTGTCTCAGGGAAGGGGTCTTTGCGAGCAAAAATCACGACGTCGGATGATTGCGCCAGGAGGGCCCTTCTTTTCTCGGAGGTTGATGCAGCCCAAACTTGCCGAGCTGATTAGCGATTTTTTCGGCTCTTGAGACTCCCGGATAGCAGGCGGTAAGGCCGTCGTTTTCCAGGGAGCGTGAAGGGGGGGGGGGGTAACCCAAGGCGGGGTCGGGGACGAGCCCAGCTTGAGGCTGGCTCCCTCCTCCAGGGACCGTCCAGGGACCGCCCCAGGGCGGCTTCCCTCTCACCCCACCTCTGGCCCCGCCCCGCCCTCCCGCCCGCCCGAGAGAAGCCCGCTGCCTCCTGAGGACAGCCGCCCCGCCCATGGCCCCTGCCCGCTCCCGTGCGCGCCGCCAGCTCCTGGGCGGGGGCGGGGCAGCTCCCGGAGCTCCCACGCTCTGCTCGCTCGCGTTCCCGTGGAGGCGTGGCCTCCGGTCCTCCTGGCCCGCGGTCGGGGGCCCGCCCGCTTCCTCCCGGACCCTGCCTCTGCGGCCCTTCCTTTGGGGCCGCGGTGCCCGCGGAGTCGCCTCCTCCGCCCTGTTCTTCTCCCTTGCTGTGCCCCCCTTTCCCTGCGCCCGCTCCCCCCCTCCTCAGCTGGGCCGCGCGAGCGGGCGCAGGCAATTCGGATCTTGTGGAAGTGTTCACTGCGTGCAGATTGCGAGCTGTTACTTTGCAACTAGTGGGCCGAGCTGCCTGTGGCGTGCTTCAGCGTCTGAGTGTCAGGACTTGTGGACGCTCGGACGTCGACTTGGAGCAAGGTATTCGCGCTTCGCGAAGCGCGAAGTGCGCGGCCAGACTCGGCTACGCAGAAGAGTGGCCCTGCGCTGGAGGGACCTCTCGTGCGGGCCCATAGTAGAGGTCCCTCCAGCACCGGCCAGCGCGCTTGGATTCGGCACAGCCGGGATCGATAGTAGGGGTAAGGGTACCCTTGCATCCTTGCTTCTCATGTCCATCCTCAACGATTTCCAGCCCCCCTGGAAAATAATCTCGCATGGGCGTCCAAGGGGCATGCATCCTTATCGCGCAACCTTGCTATCAATT